CTTCCTACGTGCACCGGGGTGCAAACAACGCTGCAAGACGGATGCGATCTTCACACCGCCGTGGTCCCAAACACCAAGCGCCCCGGTGTACAGCGCAGCCCTGTCCACCGCCAACAGCTCCGCCAGCAAATCTGCCTGATCCGCATCAGTCACAACAGAAAGGTGTTTACCTTCTGCGCGAATCCCAAGAATGGCCTCGACATCATGCAACATGATCGTCATCTCACCGAATGGAAGGTGGAAAGAGTTCGTATCCGGCTGCCATCGCTCAACGAAAGCCGTGATCAGCGTCCAATCAATCTTATCGTGCATGGTGGCAGGAAGGTGATTCACCCCAGTGCCCTGCAGTCGGTCGAACATCTCGCTCTCCACCGGCCAAGCCTCAGCCCATCTGCTCAAAACGCTACAAGTCTTTTCCCGGGTTTGGCATTTCAAAATGCCCGTCACCAAACCCCTCTCCTGGTCCTCCCAGATACGGGTAGCTATGTGTCCTAGAAAGCTAGGAATCACACTCCCGTCTACAGGCCCCCCAGGCAGCGCACCCTTAACCACCCAAGAATCATTAACGGCCCTCGACCGTTTTCTGCTTGCCCCAGACACGGTGGACACAGATGATATGCCAGATCTACTCACAAACCTACCATCCCTACCCTTACGCACATCTACCCTATGCGTCTCGTACATGTCATCTCGCCTCTGACTGAATGGACCGTAATCATCATATGGTCCACTCCCATCGTCCACATCCTCATATGCGTCCTTTTCCTCCTCCTCCTCATCATCATCATCTTCATCCTCATCCCGATGGTGAACCCGTTCTCTACGAGTCGAGGCCGAAATACCACGGGATCTAAGATGTATGGGCCCCGAGCTCTCCATCGAGTAGTTTCCAGACCTAATAAGGTCTAGATTCTTCCCCGCACCATGACCAAAAATGCGACACCTTCAAAAAATTAAAAAATGTATACACATTAAAAAAATTATAAGAAAAATAACTACCAAAAACCAAATCAAATGAACTAAAAAAATACTAGCAAACTAACCTGAAAAAGAAATTAACAAAACACTTAAAATAAATTACAGAATAAAATATACACAAACAAAGAAAAAAAAACCAACACATACAAAATTTATATAAACATAAAAGAAAAAAAAAAATAACCTAAACGAAAATATATCAACTAAACTAAAAAACATACTAACAAATTGCAATAACAAATATAAAAAAAAATTTGTACAAAACAAACATACAGAGAAATGTAAAGGAAGTATAAACATAAAAAAAAATACAACAAAATTGAAAAAAACTTAAAAAAACATAAAACATAAACAAAATTTTAATTTCAAAAAAAATTACTGAATAAAACAAAAAACAAAAATATAAAAAAATTATGATTTTCAAAAAAATAAACAAAATAAAAAAAAAAAACTAATTTAAAAAAAAAAAAACCATAAAAAAACAAAATACCAAAAAAATTACTTGAAAAAACAAAAAACAAAAAAAAATTCCGATTTTCAAAAAAAAAAACTGATTTTCACAAAAAAAAAAACTGATTTTCAAAAAAAAAAAACTGATTTTCGAAAAAAAAAAAAAACAGGGGCGCATGGCTGGGACGCCTGGCTAGGACGCCATTCCGGTGGTGGCGGCGCCTGGCTAGGACGCCACACCGGTGGTGGCGGCGCCAGATCCAGACGCCATGGCCGTGGTTCCGGCGTCAGATTCTGGCGCCACCACCACCGCCATGGCGTCCTCCCCATGCGCCCCGCCTTTGCACGACGGTTTTTTATTTTATTTTATTTTTTTAACGGAAAAAAACCTACCTTTCACGATGAGACCTCCTTCCCTCCGCCGCCGCAAATTCCTTGCCTTGCCGCCTCGACATTGTCGGACTTTGAATTTTTTTTTTTAAAAACGTAGAATGAAAGTGGCACAGTTTTTTTTTTGGGTGATGAGAGAGTGTTTCTTTTTTTTTTTTGGTCAAGGGCAATATTGTCAATTCAATGGAAATTTATGGGCTTTAGTTGGTAATATGTAGGCGATGTTTAGCAATCAAATGTGGTATTTATATTATTTATGGGGTAAAAGCCAAAACATAAGATATGCACTAATCTTTTGGTCACCCAACATTCAATTCCCTTATTTTTTTCTTGTTGAACAAAATTTTTAATAAGGAAATGACTTACTTATTTATTTATTGTGCATGTATAGAAGCCCCAAGTCCCAAGGTGTGGAGAAGGCAGGGGATTAATCATTACTCATTTGCTAATAGCTAAAATTAAAAGGATCTTGCTAATGAATGCCTTCGGAGCGCTAGTTAAGTATTTAAAACATTTTCTAAAGTAGTATTAATTTGGGAATGCATGCCAAAATCATGCGTCGATAATCTGTGTAATTAATGTTCATTTTAATGATATTTCCACTTTTAGTTATTTTATCCAACGCCCCTTACACGTTTGTTAGCTTTTGCCAAATTAAAATGACATAAAATAATTAGAAGTGCAACCATTGTTTTACATACTCCAATCCACATAGTAGAAGAGATATAAAATTGCATTATTGATGATTTGATATAACTGATCTTGAAAATTTTGTTGAGTGCAATAAACTAAATTTGCTGTAGAATTATTGATGATCATTAATGCATTGATATATATGACTAAAATAATAAAAACAGGAAATGAAACAAAGTAACGTAACACAAGGACTTTACTTTGCTATTAATTAGAGACTATTCTTAACCATGTATACTCAAAATAAATGAAAATAAGGTGTGGACATATATCCCGAAACTCGTTGTAACAAAGATTAATCACATAATTAGTTGCTTACTTGCTTATTACGTATTTTTTCACTAAATAACATTGGCATGCAATCAATAACGTTGTAGACATTATCCAATTACATACTGACCAATAATGATCACCAAGGAAAGCTAATAATAAAATGCAAATTGAATAACCAAAAAAATAAATAAATGCATTTGTAGTTGGAAGAATCTAAATTATGTAGAAAGACCACCTAACAATCCATCAAGTCATAATATAAACTCTTAATGATTGTTAAGAATCAATAGAAACTTAAAAATAGGGCTATGCATGTGATTCATTCTTATATACTCGTACCTATCTGTGTATTGATGTCAAATGCAACGTTACATTATTGTTGAAAACTAAATACTACCAGCAAATCTTTAAGAAAATGCACATAAATATCTTCTATAATTAAATTTTAAGATTGGTTTGTAATTTAGCTTTTTATTGGGGTTATATTTAAATAATCTTTGACTACTCATATGATTACAAACATATGCTTCGTATTTGAATTATTGGGTATTTTGACTATTTTCTAGTCCAAAAGGATGGTTTTTTGGGGGTTAAAGGATACTGCATGGAATTTGAAGTCCATACACAATATTGAAGTACGATAAGCATGACTCGAGAAAGAGGAGCATCGTTTCATACCTTTTATTAGTTACAACCAACAAATAGGGTTCAAAATAAACTGGCAAAACCAAATTTAAATTTCAATTATCTAACTTAGTTTAAAAGTTACACGAGAAAATCTAACCATTAAAAGGCTTAGCACCATTAAGGAAGTTACACGAGTTATTGAATCTCAATACAAGATATAATGCGAGAAGGTTTCCAAATATTTTCTCCTTATTTTTAGTTGTTACTTTGCGGTTTTTACGCCTGCCAACGTACACGTACACCTAAATCACTCTCAAACAATTAAAGACCACTGGATCTTGTTATACTCTACTTTTGCTCGTAAAAGCACTCATAAACCATAAGTAGTAGTATTGCTTACCAAATTGAGTGCTTGTTTATTTAAAGACATAATACTTGTAATTATAAACATACATAAGCAGAGTTCTATTTCTTGTTGCAGGAAACATACATAAGAGTTGAAGCAAATAAAACTTGAATTACTGAGCATAAAAGCCAGTCAAAAATCACAAACACAAAGGCAAAGACAAGTTTTAAGCTTCACTTTCCTGCAAAAATAAGGGATATAAAAATATATTTGTATACATCAACATGAAAAATGGAACACATACTCAACCCACAAAAAGACAGCCTGGAAGAATCCAAATACAAGCCCCACCTCCTCTATTATTTTCTATTTTGTCCCTCTCCATAAAGTGCCTGTTTATTTATTTATTTATTTATTTTTATTTTTTTAATTAATCTTTTTTTTTTTTTAATTATTTCTAATTTTTCAATTAAAATTTCCAAATAATCCATTTCCATTCCAATTTTATAGAACCCTAGGGAAAAAAATAATAAGAACAATTCCGGAAAATCTCCAAGTTGATAGCTTTGATATATGTGTTAGATTTCGGGAAAACTTGAAAAAGTTAAGGAAGAACTAAAAACAATAAAAATTTGCGGAAGCTAGATCGAAAAACCTAAAGATGTGATACCATGTTAGATTTCGGAAAAACTCCTCAATTTGTAGTGTGTACCCATTGATCAATATATATAGAGTTTTACAAGACTAGTCCTAACACGTTAGGAAATCCAGTACGATAAAGATACAAAATATATACAAATATCATCCTACTCTACAACAAATATTATCATAACTATAATATCTATCGATATGCATTTGTGTGTATATTTAATAATCCTGTGGTGAAAAGAATTGAATATATTGTGTACATAATTAAATTCTTTTGTTAACAAATATATATAGTTTCAAAACCTATACAAATCATGATATACACGGAGTTTATAACGTCAAAATTGTTTAGTACATTATGCAATGTTTTATGGCTATCTTAAAGTTGGCAACAGGTTCAACATTCACATGATTGCTAATCACTGTCGAGGTAGTTTTATTGATTTTGCAAGCGCTATAGTCTAGTATTAATTTCACTTCTGTAATGTCCTAGTAAATATTTTTTCAAAGGTTTTGCAATTTTCACCTTAAAATTTGTTCTTGTTTGAATCAGATTCGATTAAATCAGACCAAATATATTATTTTAAAGATAAACATTTAGAATTGATTTGACCATAAAGTTAAATAAAATCAAATTAGAAAAATTTAAGAAAGATTAACATGCTTCATAAAAACCAATTTTTAACATTTTAAATGAGGTGAAGAGAACTTAGCTTAAACTTTCAATGAAATAAGTGGTTTAATGAGATAACAATGACTTCGAGACAATAATACCAATGAGATTATAGAATACACAACCCCACACCCCCAAAAAAATAAAATAAAAAGAATGAAAAAAATAAAATCAAGAAAGTAGTTAAATGGAGAAAAAAAAAAAAAAAAAGGATTCCCATGTTCTTCCCCTTTCCTGTTTCTCATCTCTTGCTTGTCTTCCCTCCACTTTTATTTCCTTTTTCTTGCTGCTACTGTTAAGCATCTTTACTCTTTACCTCTCCCACTACTTTTGTTATCTTTCCTTAAATTTTTCCTTTTTTTTTTACTCATTTGATTTATTTTATTTTCCTAATTTCCAAGCTCAAATTTTTCTGGTATATATCTCTTCCTTCCTCAGCTTAACACAAATTTTCTCTCTCCTTTTCCACTCATATTCTTCCTTTTGTTCTTTGCTTAGTTTAGCATTTGTTTGTTTGATCATAAAGTTTCTACTTTTTATTCTCAATTGAGTAGTTTTCACTTCAATTGTGCTAAAAATTTGATCTTGGTTAAAAATTCCCAGCCCTTTTTTTTGATTTTTAACCCCTTTTGAATTTCTGGGTTTTCCCTTCAGTTTTAGTTTTTTCTAGTACCCAGATTTATTGGCTAAGTTAGAGTGATTAATAATTTGTTCAATAATGTTTCCTCTTTATCTTCTTTAAGAGTTAATTGTATTTTTGTGGGGGTAGATTTCTGCAAAAATCTGGGTCTTTTTTTCTTGTTTTTCTGGGGTTTGAGTTAGTGGTGATTCAATTTCAATGGGATTATGTCATGCAAAACCCATTAAAATCCCAGAAACCCAGTATGAAAATGGAGAAATTAATGGAGAAATTCAACCCCAAAATAGTGGAAGTGGGAAAACCCCAAAATTCCCATTTTACAGCCCAAGTCCATTGCCAAGTGCTTTTAAGAACTCCCCAGCAAATTCTAGTGTAACATCAACCCCTCTTAGGTTCTTTAAGCGCCCCTTTCCGCCGCCGTCTCCGGCGAAGCACATTCGGGCTTTGCTAGCTCGGAGACATGGTTCTGTGAAGCCTAATGAGGCCTCAATTCCTGAAGGGAGTGAGTGTGACATTGGATTGGATAAAAATTTCGGGTTTTCAAAACAATTTGCTAATCATTTTGAGATTGGTGAAGAGGTTGGGAGGGGCCATTTTGGGTATACTTGTTATGGTAAAGGGAAGAAAGGTAGCTTGAAGGGGCTAGATGTTGCTGTCAAAGTCATTCCCAAAGCAAAGGTTGTATTCTTAATCTTCCAATTTTGATTCATTTTTGCTGCTTATTTCATTTTATATTCTATATGTGTGTTTATGTGCCATTATGAAGTTGATGTGGAGCTAGGAATTGATCTAATTGCTTTTGTTAATCATTAATTCTCGGTATTTTGGACTTCTGATTTTGGTCACTTTGGTGCTAACTGATGTAAATTTAGTTCCGTTCTTTTGAATTAGGTTGGTCAAATATTGGTGGTAGTTGGATGGTTGGATGCTGATGATGTTTGATGATCTAATGGGCATCTTTTTATGCCTTTGCTTTATTTTTAGTGTTGTATGACTTGCATAGTTATTTTAAAAGATTCTGAATTCTTGTGTGATCAGTAGCTCTTCTTAAGATTTTCTTGCTTGATGGAATTTATACTGAAGATAGTTTGGGTAAAAGGAGAGATAAGGGCCCTGCTATCATGATTTCGCGCTTTGTAGCAATTGCACGAATACGCCACTATTGTTAATTGGTACAATTATAATACGATATGGGGCCTTAAGTTGATTCAACCATTAACAGCTCATATATCATGATTAAGTTACCTTTTATTGGTATTAGTAAAATTTGTCTTTTGAGAGTGAAACTGTTTATGGCCTTGTGTAAAGTGGTCTATTTGGTCTGATGATTATTACCTGTCCAATTCTTGGCAGATGACTACAGCTATTGCAATCGAAGATGTCAGAAGAGAAGTCAAAATATTACGAGCTCTTACTGGCCATAAGAATCTGGTGCAGTTCTATGAGTCTTATGAAGATGATGACAATGTATATGTTGTGATGGAGTAAGTTAATTTTAGCTCTCAATATCATACACTCTCCTACCTCTATTCGAGAACGTGTCATGTTATACTCTTTCTTAGACACAAACACACAATTCAATTTGGTTGCGTTCTTACTACCAATGATATGGTTGGGCATGGTGGTGCTATCAACTAGTCATGGCGAATAATGAAAAATCATCTATAGTTTAGTATAATCCCAAGGATATGATGTGATACAAAATTGGATTCTGTTTTACTTGATCAGATAATGTTGCTTTCTATGGTCCTTTGAATAATTGATGTGTTTAGTTGTGGATTCTGTCTTTACTCCAAGTGGGACGTGTAAGCTGCTGGGTCTGATGCCAATGATATGGGTTATCTTTGCATTATTCTCTTTATCGGCCCCTCTCCTAGAATTTTTTCAAGTCCTTGTCCATCAACTCTGATATACTTAATGCATAGGAATGCTACTGTACATATTTTGTGTGTAAAATTATGCTCACTGTGTCCTTTGTTGAATCTTGTAGGCTGTGTCAAGGTGGAGAATTGTTGGACCGCATACTTTCGAGGTATTGATTATTGACAAGCCATTAAACCTTGAACCTTCACTATTAGTCTAATATGTGTATTATAAGAAGTATAATTGGCTAACTTTGGCTTATGATCATCAGAGGTGGAAAATTCTCTGAAGAAGACGCAAAGGCTGTCATGGTCCAGATTTTGAGTGTTACTGCCTACTGTCATCTTCAAGGGGTGGTTCACCGAGACCTCAAGCCCGAGGTAATTGACTCATGGCTCTTGCCCTTGAATGACTAAATAACAGTGTTCTTTTGCTTTCCTAGGCGGTTACTCTCTCTTCAATGATTTCAGATTGCTATTTACTGTTCCTGCCATTCTTTAATAATTGTCTTTTAAGGTTATGCACAGAGACAAAAGATATATTAGTTATTGCATTGGGAGTCAAACAAACAAGTAATAGTGCGTTGGCAATTTAAGTGACAAATGAAATGAACTATGGACAGTAATTAAGTGAACAGATTTTGAGTAATGGTGGAAGTATTTGCAACCCTCAGTAATTTTGTCGAAGGATATCTTTTTCTGTACATGTTTATCGGGTAATTTGATTTAATTGTTCTCGTGATTTAATTTAACATTTATCTTTCACCCTGATCCTTGATCCTTCATGCAGAATTTTCTATTTACATCCAAAGATGAGAATGCCGCTCTTAAGGCTATTGACTTCGGATTGTCTGACTATGTAAAGCCAGGTAACTCCACTACTTGATGCACAATTGCACATCTCTCTTGCAGTGTGTACAGGCCCTTAATGCTTGCCTATATTCTTGCAGATGAGAGATTAAATGATATCGTAGGAAGTGCTTATTATGTAGCTCCTGAAGTTCTCCACAGAGCCTATGGGACTGAGGCAGATATGTGGAGCATTGGGGTAATTGCTTATATTCTACTATGTGGAAGCCGTCCCTTCTGGTCTCGTACCGAATCTGGAATTTTCCGGGCTGTCTTGAAGGCTGACCCTAGTTTTGATGAAGCCCCTTGGCCTTCCTTATCACCAGAGGCAATCGACTTTGTCAAAAGATTATTGAACAAGGATTACCGAAAACGATTAACTGCTGCTCAGGCACTAAGTAAGTTCTAAAAAAAAAATTGTTGTCTAGAGATAAATTTTTGTGTACTGTTTCTGTCTTTTCTAGGCTTAACTGCTAGCGACTCTATTGCTAAAATACTTCTGCTTATTTTTGTCTAGGTCATCCATGGCTTTCTGGCTATCACCAGGACGATAAGATCCCCCAGGATATGATAGTGTACAGGCTTGTAAGAGCTTACATATGCTCATCTTCTTTGCGGAAAGCAGCTCTTGGGGTAGGCTGATACATTTGATTTTTCCTCTTGTTAGTGGAACTTTAGTATGGATCTTGTGAAACAAATTTCCTCAAGACTCCTTTTGTTGTAAATCTAGTAACAGTGCTTGCTGTTGACAGGCTCTTGCAAAGACGTTAACTGTGCCTCAACTAGCTTATATGAAGGAACAATTTCAGATGCTATCTCCAAGCAAAAATGGCTACATATCAATGCAAAATTTTAAGACAGTAAGTTTCACATAAACTATTACTTTATGTTGTGTCTGTATATCAGTAGTGTTGGGGGAGCGGATAGATTAAAAGGGAAGGGAAGGGAAGGGTTTGGTTTTTGTTAAGAAGGGGATCAAAATCATATCCTTCCCCCTCCTTCTCTTTCCCATTTCATATCGAAATAACAGAATATGGACCCATTACTCCCTCCATTTTATTCTCTTTAAATCCTCTCATCCAAACACACTTTTAGCTTCCTTGCTCTAAAGTCTTCCTAACACATTGCTGTTAATTTTATAGGCTGTATTGAGAAATGCTACAGATGCTATGAAGGATTCCCGAGTTATTGAATATGTCAACCTGGTTTGTGCCTTTTCCATTCATCTGTATCTTACTTATTGTGCGCTTCTCTTTTTGGACGTTGATTGATTAGCCTTGGAAGTATAAAATGACGTGAAGTAGCTAATGTGCTATGCAGGTTAGCTCAATCCAGTACAGAAAGATGGATTTTGAAGAATTTTGCGCCGCAGCCATAAGTGTGCATCAACTAGAAGCAATGGAAACCTGGGAGCAACATGCACGACGTGCTTATGAGCTGTTTGAAAAGGATGGTAACAGACCAATAATGATTGAAGAACTGGCCTCGGTATGTAATTTTTTTGCTGTTTCTTTCATTTACATGGGAAACTTTTTGGAACAGCTTTAGCTAAGAATAGTATGATAGTCTCTCTTTATGCTTTAATCCATGAATAGCAGTTGCCTTTCCACTGACTTGATGCGACTTTTATGATCATTTACTTGGCATAGTTAAATTAACTACAAATATTAGTATTACATTCCCCAGATGATTGTATGGCTTCTAGCTGTAGATACAAAGGTTACAAACTTTTAGTTTGAAAATATTCCTACTTATAACAGTTTATTTTGAATAAAGCTTACCAATCATATTTAGAAAACACTTGAACGATAATCCTGAATAACTCAAGTCATTTGGTTAGTTGAAAGCATTATTGTGTATCCTTATAAGAATCTTTTCCCGTTTTATGCTGTTCTGCGTGCGGCTTACTATCTGGAGAGTATACAGAATAGACTAGGGGTGTTCGTTCGGTTTTCGGTTTGGATTTAGGCCAAATCCGATCCAATCCGAAATATAATCCGGTTTTCAATTTTCCAATTCGATCCGATCCGAATTTCACTCCCAATCCAATCCGAATGAAAATTCGGTTATTTGGATCCGATCCGAAAATCCAAATTAAAGTACATTAATTTTTAGGGCCTAATATGATTATAAAAATAAAGCTTTTATATTAATACAAGTCTTCAAAATCATGATTTAAATAAATAGTTAACATCAAGTCCATTATACAAAGTCTCACTAATTTATTTATGTAGTACTAAGTATTTGGGCTAAACTTCAAAAGCCCAATCATAAAACAAAGAAATACATATTCATATGAGTTTAATTTTACAATTCGGTTTTCGGTTTTATTTGGATTCGATTAGGGTCAATCCGATCCAATCCGAAAATCCGAATTTTAAAAAAATCTCAATTCGATCCGAATTGATAATTCGGTTTGGATTGGATTGGATTTCGGTTTTAATCCGAATTATGGACACCCCTAGAATAGACTAGTTTGGAAACATAAAACCCTTCATAGAAGTGTATTTACTTTGAGCTAATTATGACGTGAATTTTAGAGGAACTATTTGCTTATATCACATACGTTTTTCTCAATGTCGTTATTTATTCCAACAGGAGCTTGGACTCAGTCCATCAGTACCCGTGCACGTGGTTCTTCAAGATTGGATTAGACATTCTGATGGAAAGCTTAGTTTTCTCGGGTTTGTTAGACTTCTACATGGAGTCTCTTCTCGCACATTTCAGAAGGCATAACTGGTGTACGAACACTTCTACAGTCTGAGTTTCTTAATACTCAGCGGGTAAATTTCCTCACAGCAAACCATCTTTTCTTAAGATGAAAGGTTCCTATTCATGAAAGCTCGGCTGCACATTAATGTTAACCCTTATATCTGACAACTAATGAGCCTCTGAAAGCTCCTGGATTATTTCAGTCTTTTTCTTTTCTTTGCTTCCTTCAAAATCATATAAATGTTTCGTCTAGGATAGTGTTTGCTGGTGCTGGAACTTAAAAGGTAGAGAAATGTACAGATGGAAATTTAGATTTTTAGAGTAGTGAACTGCTGGAAGCGAAAATCAAGGTTTTGTTATTTTTTAGGTACATCCTGTGTACTCTATGCATATGTTTTTCTCAGTAATTAGGGGAAAAAATTGTGCCTGATCACGTCAGTAGCAATATGGACTGACCGACGTATAAGCCGAAGATGATCCATGGCATATTATGTAACGAGACTTGCTATTGTATTTTGCTTATACTGATATACATAACTTCATCATGAATTGTCCTCCTCTTTATTTAGTCGCCGCCTCAACAGTGACCAACATCAAGCTGATTTCTATTCTTATATTATGATATTTGATGATATATTTATGCATTGTTTGGTTTCAACCACTCTTGTTTTGTACATCCACTAGATTTAGATACACAATAGATTTCAATTTGGATTGATCCTTTATTTTTTTCCCCAGTTGAATTGGCTCTTATGTCACGTATAACCTAACAACTAAAAGATGACTAAGTATATTTTATTATGTTACAACTCACAAGCCAAGAGTAACATGAAGAATAAAATGAGACATCTTGGAATAGCAATAAAGAAGATTAAAATGGGAATAAGTTCAGTAATGCCTTTCAATCTACCTTTGTTTGGATTCACACTTAAATTCAAAATTTATTTTATTGAATTTGGATTGGGATTTTCCTTTCTACTAGATTGGGCTTGAATTGGATTTGTACTAACTTGCATATCATCTATGTTTATATCTATACTTGGTATTTAAAAACACAAACCATCTTGCTCATCATGTCACATGTGAACTTTATTTTTCACCAATGTCACATGTCACTTCATTTAACCTTTTTTTTTTTTTTTTTTAAATCCCCTATCTCATATTAAAAAAAAAAAAACCCACTATCTTTAATTCAATACAAGTACTCCTATTAATGTTGTTTGGTTCACTTTCCCCCAACTTAATATCTTCTACAATTACATTTAATTTTCACCCGTTCTTCTCCTTTGAAAACTATTTATTTTCCCATAAAACCATATTATAAAAAAAATTAAAAAAAATAAAATTGTATTGTGTACCTATAAACAACCCGTGCATTACACGGGCCAGAAGGCTAGTTCAAGTAAATAATCCATACTTTTAAATGAGATAAGTACAATGATTATATTACAGAGCAGTTAAAAATTAAGGACTTATATGTACGTAGCCACATAGGTCACAACCCTCAAAGGTTCAGACTTCAAAATCCTCAACCTTTAACCCGGCAATTTGTAATGTCGTGGTGGCTCATTCGGATCAAAAAGAAAAAACAATTTTTAATTTTCTTCTTCCACTTTCGTGCCAAATTAACGAGAGTCGAACCAGAAATTCAGTGATCTTTCACACTGTTCGTTTGTTTCACGTAACAAGTACTCTAAACACTCAATCACTGATTCTCTCTCCTGCAAAATCTCCGAAAATGGGAAACCTTAAAAATCCGCCAAAACCCAAATCACACCTCTCTAAACCAATCTTACTGCTTGCACTTTCAATTACAGGCATTGCATTCTTATTCCTCTTCTCTTCTTTCATTTCTACAACTGGGTTTTCTTTCTCTTCTCCTAAAATCACTCCCCATGTTTTCAATAAATCTGGAACAATCTCCATTGATAATAAACACAAGTTCTTGTACTGGGGTTACAGAGTTGATTGCCCTGGTAAACATTGTGATACTTGTGCTGGTCTTGGTCATCAGGAATCTAGCCTTCGATGTGCCCTTGAAGAGGCCATGTTTCTTCAAAGGTATCATTTTTTTGAATTTTTTTGATTGAATTTTGATCTGGGTTAGGGTTTTTTTTGGGTGTGTTTGAGGGTTTTTGGGATTTTGAGTTCTGGGTGTTGTTGAATTAAATGTGTGATCCTTTTTTTGTTGTTTGAATGGTTGGGATCTGATTATTGTTTGTTGTTTGAGAATGTGATTGCTGAATTAGTGTAGACTTTGTGCATTTGTTATGAATTATTGATTATGATTTGAGTGGGATAATGCATTGCTTATTAGGGGTTTGGAGTTCGTTATCGGGGGTTAGAAATAGGATGTTTTTGTTGTTTGATTGTGAAAGATATGCACATTGATTATGGGGTTTATTATATTTTGGTTGATGTGATTAGTATCAAGCTTCAGAAATTATGTGCCTCTTTGTTTGCTTCTTATGAATTCACGTTGGTAAATAATACAAGTAGAAGATAGTGTAACAGTGTAGATACTTGCTAACTTAGATGATTAGTTTCCAAGAAAAAATTAAGCATCGGTTTCAGGTTTTTTTTCAATGGTAACTTGTCATTTGGTTTATGGACTAAACAAGGAAAAGTTAATCAGGAATGTAATTTCGAGTTTTTTAATCGTCTGAACTATGTCCTTTGAAGTGAACTTCGGTCTTGCATACCAACTTCTTCATGTCCTTTTGACTCCTTCTATCCAGTCATCTTTGGGCTTTCTCTGCCTCTTCGGAGATTCTCTTTCTCCCAACCCTCTACTTTCTTTCGTGACTGGTGCGTCTTCTGATCTGCGCCTGATTTGCCCAAACCAGTGTAACCAATTCTCATTTATGTTATTCTCAATGTCCACTCCTCCAACTTTTCTCCTAATATCTTCATTTCTAATTCTATCCTCTAGCTGTCCCAAATATTCATATCAATGTAAACATTTTTGCTACTTTCATCTTCCGAAAATGTTCTTTTTTTGGAATTCCCAACATTTTAACCCATATAAAAATGCTGGTTTGACAGTCATTCGATTTAGCAGAAGAATGGAGAAGAATTTGACTAAGATGTAAGTATGTAACCCACAGGTTTAAGTCTGTTTGGCTCAAATGGAGATTAGCAAGTGGGGTATTGTGTGACCGTAACATACCTTTGAAGTTAAAGGGAAAAATGTAGAGGTGTAATAAAATCTTTAATTATATTCTTCACAGTGTTGCATAATTTTGTCACATTTGGTTCATCAAATTGCTTCCATGTATATGCTCTCATTATCTCTGGCGCTCTTATTTTGTTAGTGTTAGACGGCTGTTTGTTTTTCATTATGTGAGGAAGCAAGATATATTGTAAATTCTTGAGGCAAATGGTGGTTGTGTGGTTGGCTTCAAATTAGTTCGATTAGTGTCTGCAAATTATGTTGCTTAGTGTTTCCTGTTCTAATTTTTCGACCCTCAGCTTTCTCAAAATCGAGGAAACTCGTTGTCATTGAATTATTTTAGTTTTACGCCTTCTATGTTTTAATTCCACTTACCTTTCATTTCTCTTTCCTTTCTACTTGTGGGATATGTATTTAAAATGTTTTATAGATGAACTAGGTGTCATATCTTTAATTCCAATTGAACAAATTGTGATAGTTTTGATGCCTTGATTTGTGTTTCTTTTATGCTGCAGGACTTTTGTGATGCCTGCTCGGATGTGTATTAACCCAATCCACAACAAGAAAGGGCTATTGCATCAATCAAGTCAAGCGAGTTCAGATGAGGCGTAAGTTTCTTTGGTACATGACTTTACCTGCAGAATTTCAGGGTTCTGTACATTTAGCTCTGAGACCTTCATTTTCCTCCCTCATTGTCTCAAAAATGGGAAGACCTGTTTTTGCAGCCAGAAGGAAAGGATTTGATGGTAGCTGCAACCAATCTTGCTTGATGCAAATCTAAAACCATTTGCGATGTCTTCTAGGTGGATCGCTACCTCTTGTGCAATGGATTCTTTGTACGACTTGGACCTTATATCCACCAAGATACCTGTGATTCTAGACAATTCAGAAGTTTGGCACCATGTATTATCAACTGCTATGAAACTGGGGGGCAGAGGTGTGGCTCATGTGAAAGGAGTTAGCCGAGTGAATCTCAAGGAGGATCCTCAATATGCAAATCTCTTGCTGATAAATCGAACTGCGAGCCCTCTTGCATGGTAAATGATTTTCACCAATACTTAAATTTGGAATTGCTTCTATGTGGAACAATTGCTAGTTTGTGTATTTTGAGCTTTATTGTTTTAATTTAAGAATTGTTCCTGTTTTCTCTTTCTTTTGTCATATTCCTGCATTTACTTTTTTAGCGGGCTGGCAGCTATGTGGAATTTAATTGTGTTATTATTGCTTTCTGGAAGAATTGCAGGTTTGTGGAATGCAAGGATAGGTTAAACCATAGTTCCGTCATGCTGCCTTATACTTTTCTTCCATCAATGGCAGCCAAGAGATTTAGAGATGCTGCAGATAAGGTATGCATGTGTATCACTTTTAGCTAACTTGTTCACTATTTAGGGTTATGATATGCTAAAACTTGATAGTGTTGCTTATTGGGATCAAATTTTTTTGAAGTAATCATAATTTGATCAAACATTGTGAATTGAATTATGTTAAATTCTAAGTGTTGCTTCTTTATTGTGATTGTTATGCTTGTCTGAACCAACGTTAAATGGTTATCCTTCTCTGAAAATTTTATTAAAAATTGTTGATCACCATGTTTTCTTCTAATTCTGAGAAGATTTTGTCCTTTATTTTCAAGCTCCAAATTATTGGATTGAGTTGCTATGTGTGACATATCTAGATTTTCTACTCCGATAGTCTGATATACTGTTGAACCTTTTTTTTTTTTTGGTTCAAGGCTTAACATGACAAAGGTGCCACATTTATTATGTTTTTGTCCTTTGTATTTGTTTGGTGATTTTTTTTCTACAAAATGTATTTTCTTCAATGTTCCATGACGACAACTTGTTCGACATAAATCATTTGACTGACAGTAATTCATGTTAATGAACACGGGGATGGTGATGGGAGTCTATGTTCAAAAGTTGGAGAAGTCATCTATGAAACGAAGTTTTAATTCATTGTAGTATATAGCTTATTGAGATGAATGTCTGTCTAGCTAGAGCAGATTTAGGAGGTTGTAATGAAGTAGATTTGCGTAGGGACATTTTGAGATAATCCAACTGTATCTCGTTACGTAGGGGGAAGGAGAATCTCTGTGCTTTTGAAATTTAATGAACTAGTGGTATCAGTGCATAGTTAGTTTGAAGTTTTGAACTCTAAATGTGTTTTGAGATAGTAGGACTTTTGAATACCCTGGTTTCTTAAGGAAACTGATGATGAGAAATTGTCACGAGGAAGAGGTAATGAACTGGAAATTGGAGATAGCGATTCTGTTGATATATTGGAAAATACTGAAATTAAAGTAGAAGTATGCAAGGGGCTTGTTTCCCTCTCAAAACTAACAAATTAAAAGCAAGACCATTTTCTCATTTTTTCTTTCCGATATCCTCTTTTCTCTTCTCTCCCCTATTTATAGGAATTTTGAATTCCGTTCCCCCTCTCTCCAAAAACTAAATTTTAGCTTTTTCTCCAAGCTACCTATAACAGAGTAATGAGGTCATTCCTCATGGTACCGCTTTCCTTTGACTGGTTCATCAACTTAATCTCTTCACTCTTCACTGGAATAACTGAATGAAAAAAAAGAATTAAAAGTAAGAAGTCATTGAATTAGTGAGAAAAGGAACTAACTTTTAACTAAAATATGTAATTGATGGCAATGCTGATCCAAATAAGGGTCTGGAGCTCTTTAATATCTATCCTATTGCTGCTGAATATCATGAAAACCGTAGTAAAAAGAAGTCCTAACAAAGTCCAAAACAACATCTATTTATATTTAGAAAGTATTATGAAGATCTTGATGTCCTAAACCTCCTTGTAACTGGATAATAACTATACAAGTAGGCCACCAGACTGGCTAGGCCCACAGAAAACAAGCTATGCACAGCTCATGGAGTAGGTTGGTTGGACTGTTGTTAAGTGCCAGTGCCATGGCTGATGTTGAGCTTCATGGACTGGGTGCATTCACTGCATCACTCGTGTCGTGAATAGGTCGTGGCTACCTTGAATTTACACACTAAATGTGCTGCTCATTGGTGTGTTTATGTGAACTACTCGTGGCTTGGTGCACGAATCAAGTCTAGTTTTGTTGCTGTTTACAATTTCTATTTATTCATGACTCCAAAGGCAACTCCATTAATACTTGCATGTTCCTGAGATCCTTGCAAGGGTTGCAACTCCCTCCCAACTGATGTAAGCCAACTTGGGGATAAGAGCTGCCCCGATGCAAGTTAGTCATCAGTTGACTATATGACACCTGAATTGTGCTGCAACAACGATGCATTACACATCCGGTTTCAAATAGCCTCATTAATGTAGCATCATTTCCAAGCATTGAGATCCTTGCAAGGGTTGCAACTCCCTCCCAACTGATGTAAGCCAACTTGGGGATAGGAGCTGCCCGTTGCAAGTTAGTCATCAATTGACTATATGACACCTCAATTGTGCTGCAACATCGATGCGCCACACATCCAGTTTCAAATAGCCTCATTAACGTAGCATCATTTCCAAGCATTAGAGGATTTCCTAAAACAATTAGTAAAGCCCCCCGAGGAGAGAGAAGTGAAATACAACAAAAATTCACCATATTATAACTAAAGTAAGGAAAGAAAACGACTTAACAATAGTATATAAGGCGTATATAAAATTATTTTCTTGCATCGTATCATATAAAAAAGCCAACCAACTCTTTTGTTACCTTTTAAAGTCGATTACAGTTAGGTTTTGTAGATTCTGAGATTCAAATTAGGTTTTAAATTCGAGAATTCTGTGTCAAATAAGAATTTAAACAGTTGTGTCAGAACTCAGAAGTGTCTTTTATCACTGGAAACTGTAGAAGAGCCGTTCTTTAGGCTTTGTAAATGATCTTGATACCTAATGAAAGAATGAAATAGTTTGACATTTTGGATATAGAAGGTTTTCAATAATCTCATAAGTGTATGTCTGAGTTTAATGAACGCCAATTTTTTTTTCAGTTATGTTGTGTCATCTTTCTACATAAATAATAAAATGTGTGTTATTTCATATGAAAGAGTATTCAAGTTCTCCATTCTGACCTTGGATTTATGAAATAACTGTACATTTCATTTGTGAAAATTTGCTTAAAATTGGGAGCCATCACTCCTTGTCATTTGAAATGTACAGGTAAAAGCAATGCTTGGTGACTATGATGCTATGCATGTCCGTCGGGGTGATATATTAAAAACAAGGAAAGATAGGTTTGGTGTTGTGAGGAGCCGACATCCTCATGTTGAGAGGGATACAAAGCCAGAGTGTATTCTTAAAAGAATAGCAAAATGGATCCCACCAGGACGAACCCTTTTTATTGCATCAAATGAGGGGAAACCTGGATTTTTTTCACCCCTTGGTGTCAGGTTACCTTCTTAGCTTTCTCCAACATATTTATGGCATATCTTATGTGGATTGTAACATAATGGTTTTCTTAATCTTCAATTTCTAGTATAATGAATGGGCTCTATGGAATGTATCACTACATATTAATTGATCTGTTTACACCATGTTGTTTGTGTGTATGTGGCTTGAGACTTTTTTTATTCAAATGTGAGAAGTCTAGTTTCTTGTTTACAATTTCTAATTTGACATGAGTATTTAACCGTCATGGTTTTCCCTTACCCTGAGCTCAATTGCCAATTTTCAATTCTCATGGCACCTTGCAAAACTTCACGTAGTGAATATAGTGATCCTGTAGAGCTCTTAACCAGCCTGATATTGTACCTTCCTTTTTACGTCTACAGTTGTGCAGTTAACAAAATTTGTTAGCCTATGTGTTTGACCAACTTGATGTAGGATAGGAATTGAAAGAAAAGGGAGATAGAGGGAGAGATGGGAATTGTTTGGATAGAAAGCTCAAAATCTATCTTATCTCTGCTCGATTACCAGTGTGAGTTATGGAAGCTTTGGGATCTTTGCAAATTTGGGAGTGGAGGGGCTACTGCCTGTTCCCTCTGACACTTTTAGAATTCTGTGATTATGCTAGTGTAGCATGCTCCAAAACCCTTTGTTATTATAGGTATTGCTGTTATGTGTAATGAATATCATGCAAACTACCAACACACCCTATTAGATAAAAGTTAGCCTGCCTATTCCTTGTCAGCATGTGAGATATTTTGTGATAGGAAAACAATCCCGTTTTCCCAGTAAATTTAATTGACGTTCCCATACCTTTTATGATTTTGGTGATTACCAATTCATTATGGATGAAAATAGATGTGAGAGTAGAAGACAGAAATCCAAAGTTGGAATTATTGTTAGGTCATGATGAGATTTAATGTAGTACCACCTCTAAATCTCTAATGACATAATTGGTGCAACTTGTATTCCACATTCCAACTTTTTTTTTTGGCAAGAGGTATACAAGACAGTTATGAATTTTTTGATTTGAGAGAGTTTCGTTTGGTTTGTGAAGGGGCGGGAAATTTTTCCCATTGGTTGAAAATAATTCTCCGTATAATAACAAGCATTTTCCTTTAAAAGCCCCCCCCCCCAAAAAAAAAAAAAAAAAAATCTCGTCCCATCTATCCTCTCTTCCACTACCATTTTCCTTTTATGTATAACAGGTATGGGGGGTAAACTAGGTTGTAGTTGTGTTTTCCCTTGACAAATTGTTACCCAAAGAAAATAAATTTTCACTGAAAATGTACTGCCTAACCATACGAAGCCTTAAGTGAAAGGTTTTATTCTCTTTTAGGAACGATATCTTGTATTAGGACTTTCTGTATTAGACATGTCAAATTACTTGTTGTAAAGTAGAATTATATTTTGTTCTGTATCAATGAATGTATTTGTTTAATTTTATTTATTTTTTAATTAATGAAGAGTGTGCCTAAGATGTATTCCTTAGTCTTTCTTTGCCTATTTATTTATTTATTTATTTATTTTTATTTTTTTTATAATGCGACTCTGCCTTTATTTAGAAAGATTATTACAGTGAGGTCAGTAACTGACTTAACTGATATCTACATTGTACTTTGGTATTTGCAGGTACAAATTGGCATATTCATCAAACTACAGTTGGATCGTAGATCCTGTGATAAAGAATAACTACCAGTTGTTTATGATAGAGAGGCTCATTATGATGGGAGCAAAAACTGTCATCCAAACCTTTAAGAGTGAAGATTCAGATCTCAGTCTGTGTGATGACCCGAAGAAAAATACCGAGGGATGGTTAAAAGTTGTCAGTGAGGGCTGCTGAAGAAACAGAAATTGGTCTCATAATCTACCTGGAATGGAGAAGTGTTGTGACTAGAAAACTATAAGGACTTTCTCCAACATAGCTGCTTGGCTGTAGCTGTGTGCCTGACAACGGATAAATCTATGCAAGTGAATAGGAAGAGTTATTAAAGGGCTCTTAATTACACTTCCAGAAGTTTGGATGTGTCGAGTGTCGATATGTGATGCCGTTGTATACTTTTAGCTTATTATGTAGAGTTTAGACTGAATGGAAAACACTCCAGCATGTGGGATTCATAGGATGTCGTCCCTAATTTAGCAACCATTGCCCATTGCCAATATATTTGACAAAGAGCTCGGAAAATTAACTGGAGGACATCATGTAAAGAAGAGAATTAGAAGTGTTATATTTTATGTGAAAGGCAAACACCAATCTGTTATGCTGTGTAGCAATTGCTCTTTATGCTATCTGGGTGCTTACACTTCTTTTCGCATCTCCCTTGTTTGACAGATCTTTGGTGTAGGGCGAGATAAGGCTTTTTGGTTAACTTTTACTCTGTAATGTAATAAAGTTTGATCCATTTTACTAAATTTTCACCATTAATATATACCTCGTACTTGATTAACTCAGTTAAGATTAACTAGCATGGGATAAATTAATTTTACACAAATTAATACTCTTATGAATTGACTGTAAAAATGATTGTCACAATTTGACTTTTTAACCTAAGGTGACACATTAACAACTTTTCCATGCATATCGTTTCATCCAATTCTAATTAATGGCTCACCCTATACCATTTTTAACACCTTATTGCCGATCCCACGTTTCCACCCTCTAATTTCCAAATTCTCATTCCCACATATCAAACGTGTCCATTGGCCCAAGTTCTTAATGTCACTTTTAAAATCGGTTTATCACGAAACATGGACTAATGGTTGCCTAATGGATCAACCCTCTCCAGCTCTATGAGACTTGGCCATTTCATACATATGATACATTATAGCCTGGCCCGTAATGACCCAAAATTAGTCGGGTCAGCCCGCCCATTGCAGAAATTTGATCAATATTGCATTATTTGACTTGACCAGTTGACCCGCAATTTTTCTTTCTCCAGCGCTTTGCCTTCATCTTCAACCTATTGATTAATTATTCCAAAATTTCAACCTTTGTGATATTTACGCAATTATAGAAACTGGGTAATTTCTCTCTGTCTATTACAATGAATTAATTTTCGATTTTTCGATGTATTTGTTTTAGGGTGTGGGGGTATTTGTTTGCAGAATTTCAGAATGATTATATTTTGATACGATTAGTTACTCCCTCCTTTTCTTTATTAGATGCCTATTTCACATATTAAAGAGAAGTAGGCATCTAATTAAGACGGAGGGAGTATTATTTGATATACATGCTTATTCTAAGTTTGATTTTTGTTTGAATTGCGAGAATTCCTAATTTGAATTTGATTTTGTTTTGAATTATTGAAATTAATTTGATTGTGAAAGTGCACAATTAAGAAATTAGAATGTAATACAAGTATATTTACGTGATAAATTTATGAACTATTTAGACAATGAAAATCTGATTTTATTTTGATTAGTGGCTAATTCTAGGGAGGATTGAGTATTTAGCGGATGAGATTTTGGTGCAAATGAAAATTTGTATGAAAATTATCAAGTACTATTTGATACTGGTAAATCATAACCATACTATTAGTAGAATTATCAAGTGATTTTGATATAATTTATGTAGTAAGATTTTCAGTAGGAGTAGAGTTTGATTCGCCTCAATAAAAAAAATGATTTTTCATTTTTTCCTGATGACTTTTGGTGATTAAATTGCTGAATGCTGAATCTAATGTTAATCTACCTGTCTCACACAATCCTTTTGGTGAGACAGGAGCACGCAGGATTTATGGTCTAGTACGACCTGCATTTCTTGTTAGTAAAAAAAAAATTGGGATTGGTGGGCAAATAATGATTATATAGAAAACTGCTCAAAGATTAAGAAGAAAAACAAAAGAATAACTTTCAAATCTAGGTTCTTCAGTGTATAAGAATTTTTCCACCCATTGGTGGTGGTCTGCGGGTTGTGTTTAGATGCTTAGATACCAATACATTCTACATGATAATTTGGTGAATGTTAAAACTGTGGTGTGATTGCTAAGCAGCTATCACTGGTTAGCTTATGTCTTATGTCAAGGATGATAGGTTGTTCTAGTGATTTGGTCATAATCATAAAATAGTAATATTCAGCTCATCTTTTTAAAAGAATAAAACGACCTCTCATTACTTCTTTGTCATATGGGAATTTTGATTTTGGCTTCAGGGATGATGAAAGGTGTTTATACGTTTGAGAAGGGTTGTTGATACAGCATTCAGTTTGTTTTTTTTGTTGCCATATCTGCAATGTTTTTATCAAATGTTCGTAATAGACCTTTGTTGAGGAGGGCTTTTTCGTCTTTTCATTCATCATTTGTGATGAGCGTGGAGGATCAATTCAGTATTCAGAAGGGGGAAAGCATTGATGGTGTTTTATCAGGCGGCTTGTCAACATTAGGCTGTATATCTGGGAAAGATGCAGCTGCAGGTGACACATATAGCAATGGATGGAAGGGTCAGCAGCTTCCAATCGCTGACAAGTGAGTAGATGAGCTAGATTTAGTCTTCAATATTTTTGGATAGAGCACCGTGCGTGTTTAAGCACCCAAACATTGGATTTTTCTTTTTTAATATTTACAATGAAAGATGGTAATTATTTGTTCTAGAAATTAATTTTATTACCATAAGTTGATAACACATGTATTTTTCTATTCTCATTCCCCAAAATTGTTTTCCTTTACGTTGTATGAAGTCAAGATTTTGTTGGTAAACTTTAGAAAGATAATTCTAAAGCCTCATTCTGATACTGTTCAGCAGGATATACCATGGAGTGATAGCATACATTTTCTTTTCTTTCTATTCTCCGTTAGTTGATGACTTGACTCATTGAGCTGTCTATGTTCTAACTTGAAAAGAGTAGAAGCAAATGACTAGCATATAGCATGCCAAGAACTGAACAGATATAACCTGTTAGATAGAAAGTTGTGGTCTGTTCCACCGAAGAATTTGTCTTGTTATGACAGAATTTTTGCAATTCCTCAATAGCACAGATAACTTTATGTAATTAGAGTTTGATTTAATTTGTCTACTTGTTATATAACTAGCAATCTAGCATCCTGTGCATCACAAGGGATCATGTTATTCTGAGTATTTTTTTCCCTTTTTCTTTTAGAGACCATGTTATTTCCTAAATGTACTAACTTACTTTTTTTCCCATCGCTTCCAGTGGTAAAATAGTAAGATCATATATGTCAAGGAGAAATGCAGTTGAAGTTGTGTTGAGCTCATCCGCTTTTGTATATGGGAAACACAGAGTAGCTGTGAGTCCTCATCATGCTTGTTCTATGCAAACTCATCACTACAGTTCCCAGGGCAATGATAAGAACAAGGTATGTAGAATCTAAGTTTGTACACTGTTTGATTTTATTAGAATAAGCTTATGCTTTTGGACCTCCTTGAGATAAATTTCTTTATTTTTGTTATTGCTTAACATGTACACTATTTCAGTGCAGCTGCTGGAGAGGATACCCAAATATGTGAAGATAGTAGAAGTTGGTCCCAGGGATGGCCTGCAAAATGAGAAAGATATTGTACCTACTGATGTGAAAATTGAGTTGATAAAGATGCTTGCATCTTCTGGTCTGCCTGTTGTTGAGGCCACTAGTTTCGTGTCACCGAAATGGGTTCCTCAGGTAAGAAATTTTTCAATGATTCACTCTTTTAATCAATGCTTATAAGAGTTTCATGTCTGGTGTGCACTTTGGTTCTTCCTATTCTCTGGGTCTCTGGCCATGAGTGGTTTTTTTTTTTTTTTGTGTGTGTGTGTGTGGGGGGGGGGGGGGGGAGATTCTGTGATCTTATACAAAGTTCTTCCCTGTGAATTTGAAATGCTATTTTCATCACTGTTACTTCTTTGATACAGCTAGCAGACGCAAAGTTAGTAATGCAAGCTGTCCAAAATTTACAAGGCAGTAAATTTCCTGTATTAACTCCTAATCTTAAGGTAATCCCTGTTCCAGTTGTGCATGCAAATCTCAGTGAGAGGAGACACTTGTGGTTGACATTGATATTTCATGATCCCAATTGAATAGGGTCTAGAAGCAGCTGTTGCAGCAGGTGCCAAGGAAGTAGCAGTGTTTGCTTCGGCTTCAGAGTCCTTTTCAAAGTCAAATATCAATTGTACTGTTGAAGAGAGTCTGATCCGATACCGGGATGTTGCTAGAGCTGCAGAAAAGCTTTCTTTACCTGTCCGTGGGTGCGTATTGCAGTTCTGATTAATTATAACTTTATGGAAAAAATCGTGTCACTAAGCATATAAAGTATTTCTGTTTTAAATCTTGCAATGGCTCTTACCTTTCAGCCTACTTTCATGTGATGTTTTTGTGTGCCAAAGCTCCCTCCCTTTAAGATTTATTTTTTACATCACAGAAAAGGAAACAGTCACTGTCCTTTTGTATCATATAAACCATCTCTAGATGGCAACGATGGCATTTAGTGCAAATAAAATAATAGTTCTATTTATCATTGCATTTGTATTAAAGAATTCAAAGATTTCTGTCTCTGGTAAATTTGTTTTCCTGTGGAGTATTCTGAAAGCTATGACTTTCGGTCATGCCCTTCAAAATTTGAGTTGCTTCTCAGAAGAAAAAAAAAGTATGGAATATAAACAGCAAAAGATAACCTGATGAACACCTATATCAGCTATATGCATTTTTCTTCCTCTGATGTCCTTAAGATTGCAGGGGGAAGAGGAGGAAGAGGAGGAGGAGGGGGGGCAAACATTTGAAAGAGAATTTCAACCTTGGTGTTGTCTTTACTTCACTTTTGGTTGTGTAATCTACAGAGAACTATTGGTTCTGGATACTGCTATGTGAGCCTGCAACTTTTTTTGCTGTACTATTGATTATAAGATATTGATTGTAAGATAGACGCATAGTTTGGTATGTTCATGCCCCATAAAATTGAATTATGGTGGAACAGATTATTCTGTAGCAGTGTATGTGATTTGCCTGTGATTGTGGTTGAGAAGGTTTGATGGTCTCCGATGATTGAGAATCTGAGATGTTTATAGCTCTCTATTTTATGTAGCAATACTTTTCAATTGATGGTCTCCGATGATTGTGTCTTACATGTCTTATCTGAGATGTTGATTCATATTAATTTAGGATGGTGCTAACAATTGAAAATTTTCTCACAGATATATATCATGCATTGTGGGGTGCCCAGTTGAAGGAGCAGTCTCACCCTCTCAAGTAGCATATGTTGCTAGAGAGCTATCTAATATGGGCTGTTACGAGATCTCTCTTGGTGATACTATAGGAGTTGGGACTCCAGGTAACCTTCAATATTGAGGTTCCACTTTGATGATTTTTGTTGAATCATGTATCAAATATTATGTGTCATCAATCATCATGGTACGAAATTGTGGTTTTCGTGATTTGTTTGTAGAACTTGTCTCCTTCATTACAGTGATGTAGTCTGATCTGTCAGCATCCAAGATAT